TCTGAGTCTTGTTAGTCAACAGAACAGTGGAAATGAAATCATATGATGTATTTATGTATGAACTAATTAGAAGATTCTTGAGGATTCTCTTAGTATGGATCATTATACAACTATAGTATACTATAGTATAATATTGTATTACTATAGTACGGTAATTTTCGACCTTTTCTATCTCATGATGTACATAAACTAATTGACACAAAAATGACATACATTAATATACCAAAAAATATAATACATTTTTTGGTGATATGTCAGAAAAGGATATATAAGTATAATATTGATTCACAGTGAATAATTGTTGCTATATTGGATATTGTCACTCTTTATAATAGAAAATTTGACTAACTATACGGGAAAAAAGATCAGTACCGATTTTTGGCTAAACAAGTATCGTAACTTTTAAAAATTCACACGACGTATTTAAAAATTATTGCGATATAAGATGACATACTGATGGAAAATCACTGTTGTATTACCTATATTATTACTAACATGCAAGTAGTGTAGTACTGTAATATGGTGCATTATACTGAACTACGACTATGGTATACAACTATAATTGGTTCGAGATATAGAATGGGAAGATACCGATTAATACTAAAATGTCACCATTGATATCGTTGACATTCAAGACCATTTGCAGTTTGTAGATTAATTGCAAATTAAGACAGAAAAAATTTGTCGATTAATTTTCAATTTCTCCTTGTTCATTAGCTATTTGTTACTACCGATTTACAGTAAAATATTTACTATCAAATTTTGTTCAATATTTCAAAAATTCCAGCGCCTTGTGAACTGTTGTCGGTAATATTTAGCTGTGGAAGAATCCATTCTAAATTAGCATCGTATGTCATTGATTGGCATTCGGAATTTTTAAGTCACGGAAATAGCTGTCTCTGAAGTCACTGTATTTACATCTTTGTATTTCATATGACCAATTTCGCAAATATGCGTTGTATTTGAACTGTATAATGTTAGTGTGAAGCAAATACCAACATGATACTATTATAGTGGCGATTGTACAAATTTTCGTTGTTTAACTTCAAGGGAAAGCCATAACAATAAATATACTTCAAAGGGAAGTCACGAACTCTAAGAATTGCAAACAGGTTGAAAGAAAAGAAAGTCTAATTCAAGAACCAACTAATAGAAACTATAGCTTTCTCTTTACATTCGCATATTGATTACAAAATTAAAGGTAAATTTTAAATTTAACATTGGCTTTAAACTGAAATGAAAATGTATGAAGTATCATACTATAACATTGCTCGCTTATTTTTTAAAACATTGCTCGTCTATTATTGACCTATCCCAACTCAATTTCATAATTAGTGCCAGCTATACCCTTGTGTCATCTTGATCACTGTGTTTTTCGAAAGTTCTGAGAAGTTATCGTGCAGGATTGCATAAGTATGTGACCTCAGCATCAATTAAAGCCACTACTTGATATAATAATTTACTATTACTGTTACATTATTATTAATTTCTTACTCATATCATATATACGATAAATCTAGCACTGTGCTAAGCTTATTATACTCGAAATGATACAGAAGTAGTGGGAATATTTTATTTGCCCAGATTGACACCATCTTGGATATTTTTGAAATCTACAGGGTGATTTTCTCGTTAAGATTCTTAAAGACAGTGTTATTAGCAGCCTAATATACCGGATATCGCTTTGCTGCTGTATTTACTACTTATGTAAGTGTAATGGAGACGATTGTGTGCACATACATATATACGTATGTGTTCTTAAATCGAAAATTCTAGATAAAAGTGTCAAAAAAGACAGAAACGACTATAGCAAAAGAGCTATATCAGCCTATTAAGTTATAGTAAGGATGAATTGATAAATCAAGTAAATCAGATTGATGTTTCTGTATCTCTGTCGTCTTTGATCATCCTAGGAAAAGGATCACCCTATATAATTCTGACATAATACTAAGTATATACTAACATACTACATAATGGGATATAGTGCAATACATGTAGTAAGATAAATTACTTCTTTTCTCTGTGATTCTGTACTTATGCCAGTATTTTATCGCCCTATCCCATTTGGTCTTGATGCGTCTTACTTATTGCCTTTATTACTCCATGCAATATAATTCTATTTGTGGATGTGACACTTCCAGTCAATAAAGAAAATCCATGTGCTCTATCTTTACGATTGTGTTAGAAAAGGTTGATCAATTACATTATGACCAATCGGGTCCTTATTTGTTCCGTGTGTGAACTTCTGAGCTCTGCAGAATGAATGGGCTGCACTATAACCCTGTTTCTATGGAAGACTAAAAAGACTCGTAGAGGAAAATTTTGTATTTAATATAATTTATCATCGTGTCGTGCAATTTTTACCAAAAATGCATCAATGTAGTTACAAGCTGCAATTGCACTAGCTTCTTAAATGAAATCCCAACATTTTCTTTTTTGGGTGACTTAATCCCTCTAGGTATGTCAAATAAATAGCTATCAAGATATAATGTTGAAAAAACTTATATTTCGCAAGATATAATTTGATAACGTATCTAAGTTAACATTCAGATAATTATTTCTGTGAAATGTAATCATTTCTGTCGCGTTTATTGATAAATGCATTTACCGAGATATGTGTACTTTGAAGGGTATAATTTTCTGCATGTAAAGGATGTTATATAGAGATAAGAATGATATTAATGCAACTTTAAAATTCAGTTCACTGAACTTAACTGATACGCTGTTTTGATTAATAATTGGAACAGAGATCCAGAGGAATTCTGGTCTAGTTACTAGACTTGTCCTGTACTCTGAACCATGTACATAATATAATACTTATACTCTGTTTCGCTCGATTTCATTTTTTTTTAATTTCTAACGACATATGTGATATAATAAATAGATTAGATTATATCATCACAGTTTTTATCTTACGTTAGCGATTAAACTCCGAGTTTTTATCTTTGAGACTCTGAGTCGCTGTCGCTCTGCCCCACTCGATGTCGATATGTCCCGTTCGTGTCCTTTGTTACGCGATGCTATGTGATTCGATTCGTAGGTGTGACACTTTTGACCAATAATCAAAATAAGTGCGCTTTATCTTTATGATTGTACCAGAGAAGGTGGGTCTACTGTACAGTAGCCAATCACATCCACATCTTTTCCCACGTCGATTTTTCAGCATTGTACCTAACTGTGACCTATCTTACTATATTTACTCTAATCTTTCCGAATTCTTAAAAATGTTATTTTTTTGAGGGGTCCATTTATATTCCTGGAAGTCAATCTATGATGTTCACTGGTATAAATGTTATAAATTAAATGTAATATATTAAATGTAATATTATATTTATATATTTGATATTCAACTAACTTAAATTAAATTTAGTGTATTGAATATTAAATGTTAACTTACTATTGTTATTATAACATGTATTACAAGCAAAATCAGTATTGCTGTATCATGTATTACAAGTAAATGATTAAAAAGTCTACTCGCTTGAAAAATATTGTATACGCTATAATTAGTTTTGTACAGTTGTAAAACGGTTGTAAAGCTGATAATTAATATTCATTGAAAATATGGTATAATTATTATATTGTAGGATTTATTTCCAAATAACAAAGTTGAACATAAATAATAATTATAAAGAATGTTACAAGGAGAGGTGATTCTTACATCAACTTACTTGTATCTTGATTTATTTCCATTCTTCCTCATGCTTTGTTTAATGCAATACACAACACATTCTGTAAGTCTTACATACTAATAGTGTATCGATAATTATATACATGCCCATATAAATACAATGATACAATAATTATAATAATAATATAAGTAAAGAATAATATGGCCAAATAATATAATATAATATAATAATAAATATAATAATTATAATAATACAATATGATATATAATATTTAACATTTATAAATTATCAAATAAAAATTAAACTTATTTTATCCACAAAGAATTAACACACAAAGCGATGAAGCGATGAAGCTAGAATTTAGTTATAATGTGGAAACTGAAATTTAGTATGAATGGTTATAGCATGTGATTAAGCTTCAAGTGTTATAGATGCGAGAAAAGATCGAATATACATATATTTAAGATTGTGAAAGATTGAGGTGTGAAAGAAGAATGTACGATCATCCAATATGGATACTCAGGAGTATCGTGCAGTTCGTTTAGAATGAGTGAATGAGATTGTAAAATAGAAAAAGAGAAAATGTGCGGATGTTGGTATACATATGTATATTGTGTGGAAGATGCGTGCGCTGAATAGTAATCAAATGAAACTGAAAGTGAGAGTTATTTTGCGTTGTCTCGACGTTCTGTGTTATCAAATCATTCTGTATTATCTATTATAGTCATATTATATATTTAAAAATTATCTTAATAATTAATCAAATAAGCATAATAGTTCTTTATTCACATAAGTCTTTATGTTTATAAATTGTATTACAATAGTTTATAAATTATAAGTGTTAATATTTATAATATAATTTATAATATAATATATAAAAATATAATATTAATAAATAATATGCAATATTAAAGTTGTGTCCCAATTGTACTCTTTTTATTATTACTCATCAAAGGTAATTAATAAGTAAAAATTTTTACAAAATTGAAGACGACAATACTAATACGTCTGTCGTGAATTAAATTTTTATAATAAATTGTTTTCCGAAATTATGCTATTTTTTGAGCTATTTTTATATAGGGTATAGCAAAATTCATAGTAGAAGGGAAGTTCAAATTGTTTATGGAAAAATAAGTTAAAAAATAAATATTTGTCACATTCTGCTTTCTCAACGAGGAAAAGGACACAAAAACTCCGTTTATAACAGTGGTCTGCTAATATTAATTTAAAAGAGCTCATTAATATTGACTCCGTCACTATCACCCTCCTTCCTCTCCTTCAATTGTCGGAAGTACATAGTTCAAGCCCAAGACGGTTGTTTCCGGTGCTCAGCAAAAGCCAGATAAATTGAACATACTAAATAATAGTATTCGAAGCTGATGAATAGTGAGTACATAAGTAAGTAGAACACATTTTTATTCAATTCAAAATAGTCTGATTGAATTTGAATTTATTTTAATTAATTTTTCATTGGTAAGATCTCACCTGTTTTTATTGAGGGAAAATAAAAATTGTAAAAATTTAATTTTTGATCAATCAGAATGATAAATCATCGGCTTTAAACGAATTTAAACACTATTTGGAATATTCGTGTAAGAAAAGTCATACATATTCTTTTAATTTTATTGCGAAGAATATCTTATTTTATCAGAAAAACCTTTTCGTTTTATGCATAGAAGTATTGGAAGCCTTGTTCGTGATACTCAGATATTACAAGATTTGCTTCGTGACTAATGTATAGACACGTCGGCTAACAAGCAAGACTTTTGTTTTGTTTGATCCATTGATCCCTTATTTTTCGCCTTAGCTGTTAAACATTTGCATTATTAAACTGATGTTTCGTGAAGTTCATACAATAAGAGATCAATACAAAGTCAAATCAATACAAAAAATTCAGTTAAAGTTATATCTATCACGATTTAGACAGCCATTTGTAAACTTCACATTAAAAATTACATAAAAAATCGAAATCTTTAATTAAAAGCACTAGACTTAACGCTATACATACATATATAATTATTTATACATACATGTATAATTAAATAATTTTTTAATATCTAACTCCTTTGTTATGTTTCTTCTATTATTTATTATTTATTTTTATTTCTATTATTTATTATGCTTCTATTTGTTATTTTTCACATATAACTTGTTTCATTAACTAAAAATTTTAATCATTAAATAAAATAGTTCTATTCTAATATAAATTAACTGTTTTCTATAAAGTAAGACTTATTAATTGATTTAATATCATTAATATTATTGTAAAAAGTATCATCAATTTTCTAGTAAAAAAATTTTTAAATTGATACCTCCTGTAGTGAAAAGAATCTTCGAGTGTAAGGTTAATACATTGGCAGTCGGTAACTTATTTACTTTTCGAATACTAGAAATCAAGAAAGTCAAAAATTTAGATTTTGTTATTAAAACAACAACAAAGATTATAGTTTGTTTTAAAATATCAAACTTGAGTAAGAAATTGATTTTAGATTAATGTTAATAGTAATTAGAATCAGAATTTGAAAGGATGTACATTAGCACTAAAAAGGAGATCATAAATAACAGGAATTTATTTATGAAGACGTGGAAATATATCAATGCAGTATTAATAAACATTTTTATTTATATTATAACTGAAGTTTCACACATACAGAAAAGAACTTTATTTATATTCATATATAGTATATGTTAATAAATTTATATTAGACACATGTGCTGTTATATACAATGTAATATGTAATATGGAGAAATTCGCTAACATTAGAATTTCCAAATCAATTGAAATATGTAATTAATTTCAGATTTTTTGTTCTTGTATTAATATTGAATTAGAAGAAATTAATGTTAACATTTGAATAAATGATGAATAATTGTTAACTTTTAACAAAATTCATGCCAATTCTTATTGAGACAGAAACGTAATTATATGTATTTATTTATTTTCACTATACTAATTCGATTATTATTATATGTATGTATATCATATTTAGGTATATCAAGTAAATAATTTCAATGTTAATAAAATACATCAATTACATTATTTTAAATGAATTAACACTACAAAATTTTATTTAAATTTCCAATTTGTACATATTATTATAAGTGTTATAATTGTTTGTTTAAAATATTAAGGTAGACATAAAAATTCATTAAATATAAATTTTTTATAAAGAATGTTGTTTTAAAAACACCACTTCACAATTAAAGTTATGAAAAAAATAAAAATTAAGAAATATACATTACCAATCCTATTATGATAAGATAAAGATGAATTAAAATAAAGAAAATTTTCTTGAAATTTCTTAAAAATTGCTTTAGTTTTATAAACACAATTTTTTTTTAATGTAACAAGATAAGTGTAATCCAAATTTATAATATAAATATTAGTATTTATATTGTCAGTATTTATGAAATATGATAAAGAAATTAAAAACACTGAATTATTAGAGATATTTATGAAATAAAACAATTTTAGAAAAAGTTTGGTAATTTTAAAAATACCTTAAACATTTTAAAAGATGAAAGTTTAAAAAGATCAAAAAGTATAAGAAAGTACTACTGAAAAGAATTAAAACATTAAAAAAGAATATATAAAAATCATGTTTTGTTGTTTAGCAAACAAAATTAATTTAAATAGATAAATGTCACTGTTCTCGTCGGAAGATGATCATTAACCTAACAATATCTATTACATTTTTCTATATTTTCAAATTTATTAAACACATCCTTTCTTCTTTTCTTTTTGAGTTATCTCAGTACTAATATAAATAAGTTGTATAATAAAATAAAAAATTAGTGACTAAAATGTAATTCAAGATGAGAAACCTGAAAATATCATGGATTGACTAGTTTATGTTATCTCTAATTATATAATATTCAACTAATAACTCCTTTCTAATGTATACTTTCTGATTAGTCATTCCTATGATTTTATTATTATGAAGTTTTGTTATGTAATGTCTCATAGGAACAAACAATTCTATGAAATTTTAGGTTCTTAAAATGTATATTACAAAAAAATTTATTTGTATTTAATGTACATAACTTTTAAAATCTATAACTTTCTTATTGATATTTTGAACAAATATATAAATTTTACATTTATCTCTTTAGAGAAAAGTGCATATGTAATTTTTTAATTTTATTACTTTAGTAACTAAAAATTTAATTACACATTTGACATTAAATGACTACAGATAATTGAAATATTGTTGTGTGTGAAATATTATTGTATAAATGATTCTTTTTTTACTACGTTCATACATAATTTTATAAAAACTTGTGCATTTTTTTCATATTTGTACCATTTAATATATTCAACTCAATACCACTTGTGTAAAAACATACTAAGATTCATGTAATGTGAAAATGAAACTATTTTTAAAAATTACTTGTAATGAACATTAACGATGAGAATAATAAAAACTAAACTAAAATGTTAAACACTAAAAAGGAACAAGTAGTATTTCAATGAGTTAATTATTTGCAAATTAAAAAGTTAAACATGTATGACTTTTAAAAATAGTTAAAAATTGAACTTTTTAAACTTAACGAAAAATTAAATCAATTCTTTTATATTTCTAAAAACAGTTAAAATCAATATTTACATTCTATTCATAATAAATGCCTTGTATACCACATTATCATATCACTTTAATGAAAGTTATTAATTCTGAATTAATTGATCAAATAGATGGGTTTATTTGATAAACTAAATGTAAAATCCATATTGTAATAAAAAAGATATACACAAAATATAGTTAAACTTTTATTCAAAATATTGTTTTATATGACACACTCCATATACATTGTAAATAGAGTTTATGTCATGATATTTCATGTATTATTTTTATTTTACTGTTTTAACATACTTGTTCACAGTCTAGCAAATGATTAAAAATTGAAAAATATATGTCACATTAATTATATCATTCTAACATTTCAAATATGTAATGTAGCCTTTTATTAAATTACAAAACATAAAGTTATAGCTATGGTAGGGTAATTTTCCTTAATTAAATTGAATGCAGAGATAATGCGAAATACATAATATTATAAAAATATTGCTCAAAATATCTTTGGATATTTAAAACTGTAATTATAAAATACGTATCATAGATTAAGAATTATAGTCTTATAAGTCAATTCACTACTCTTTTATTTAAAATAATGTTTTGTATTTATGGTAAAGAAAAGCTTTTTACTTTATAAAACATGTTGCAACATGTCATGACGAAGATTAAAGTTATAATTTATATGATTATGGAATTAAATGAATAATATTCCTATAATATAAAAGATAGCAATAATTCATATGTTTAAAATTTGAACTTACATCACTGTGATGTTCAACTCAATAAATAGTTAGAAATAAGAACTTATGAAATAACATAAGGTATGTTATATTTAATGATGTTTAACAAATGTGAAACATGAAATATAAAAATAGGAGGTAATCTTTACATTATATTAAAATTCTAGGGTAATAAAAATGTATATTATTAAATTTGGAAAAACTGATGGTTGAATCACACAAGTAATAATTTCTACTAAATACATATTTTTAAATACTATAATGAAAGTGAATTTAATATTTTTGTATTAATAATAATAACAGTTAATATTGTTCTATATAAGAAAATAGTTGTATATATTCAAGAAAAATCTAAAATAACATTTTTAACGTTATCTTGCTATTTCTATCTTTTTTAAATAAAAGAATTTTCTATTTGTCCGTTTCAATTTCTTTATTATTTCGTATTTTACTTCCTTGTTTCAATAAACTTGTGTGGAACCCTAATGTTTCTTTTTATGCAGATGTTATAGCCTTCGTATTGTATTTGTCGTTTTGTTAAATTAAATTTCATTTAAACGTAATCTTCCAGTGGTACCAGTTCAAGACGCTTATTGGAAACGGTTTAAATTATTTACAACAGTATCACTATACAATTTAATTGTACGTATAATTAACTGTTACAGATTAGTAGTTCCATACAATTTTAAGAAATTTACACAGTGTCAGATTATTATGAACATAACCTAATTTTTACAAATATAATTTTACGAACATAACCTGAAGAGGAAATAAAAGTATATTTGAAATTGTCATAGTAATATTAATTTTAATCCAAATGACGAAATTTTACAAATTTTTTGTACATAATTATTTTAGATAAATTTCAATTTGAGTCGAAATTACAAACATTACTATAAAAGTACTAATTGCAGTAACATTGCATATTTCACAAATTTTAAATAATTTTCGTTTATATATTTGAAATATCTATTGGCTTTGTATTATTATAATAAATATCCCTTTTATTAATTTCGACGTATAAATATGTATCAAATATTAAAAAATAACAATAATGCTTTTAATAATGAATTTTAAAATTTTTCATGTAATAAAGGTACAAAGGTAATTATGTATATACGAGTTTTGTTATTATTATTTTTAAAAATAATAATTTAATTTATTATGTAAATAATAATAATTTAATTTATTATGTAATTCTTTAATATATCGTCAAATTTCTTATAAGTTACTCTTTAATATTTCATTAATTATTTTTGTTCTATTATAAAATTAAATTTACTTAATTTGATGTAACTTAAGGTTATATATACATATCTATATAAGCAATTGTAATGAACTTTAAAACTTTTATAATGAATAATAAATTATATTGAAAATATTAGTATGAAGTTTTACTATAGTTTATTATATCTTTGATGTAGATTTGAGAGAATGATTATTCCTATTATAAAAAATTTATTTTATTTTGCCATAATAATAAATTTAAATATATAACTTTTTAATAGAGATATTCATTTTGTTTAAAATTTCTGTAACAATTTAATTATTCTCGAACAAGTTATTATTTTAAAAAATATAAATGTAATTTTATTATTAGGAAATTAAATAGTTTTATTCATATATGTACCTATACGAATGCTTTTATACGTCATTCTATAAATATCTTTTAAATAAATTTATTAGTTTTAGAATAATTATAGAATAATTATAATTATATAAATTATAAATTACATGAATTATAGGAAATTATAAAACCTAAGTAAATAGAAAGTAAATTTTTCTAAATGTTATCTTCTAATAAGGAATAAAGGTTATGAGTAAGTAGATCTTTCTCGGGTCTCTTTCTACGTACATTTTCAAATAAATATAACAATATAATATATTTATATTATCGATTATACGTAACAATATACGGTGTCATCATAAAATGATTTGCCATGCAAAAATGTTTTGAAAATATGAACAAAATTATTTTTATTTAAGATTTTCATTTACTCATATTATATTGAGTAATAACATCGAGTAATTATGAAGTATTTTGAAAATATTGAAATTTTGTATGAAAAGAGCTAAGAAATTATTTCATGCTTTTAAAAACTTAAAGCACTATTGACAAAAGTTTATGTATTTAGTATCAAACAGTGTGATTTTATTTTCAGTTATAAAGATATTATTTAGAATTGTTTTTCTTTTCTTTTTATGTGCTTTTTACTTAAAAATTACTTTTTCTTAATGCAAAAATTGTCCTATACTTTAAAATTTAATTATTATTTAAAATATTTTATACTTTTAAATGCTCAATTCTCACAAGACATTTAATATTATTTTGCAATATTAAATCATCATTGTCATCGATTCTTAGTCTGAAAATGTGTAAGACACATTTAGATATTTCACAAGTATATAAAATTTAAGATTAACTCGATTATAGTTGGTTGAATTATTTTTGAGAAATATAACAATTATAAAGGCAAAAATTTCTATAAATTTATATTTGAAATAAAAATAAAATCGATATCTGCTTTTGTTTTCGGGAAAACAGTTTTTAATACTTTATTTCTCAATGATCTGATGGAAAATCATTTCGAACACTTTCTGAATTAAGATTTTTTAATTAAAAGATCATTTTTTAATGAAAAACACAATAGATTTATCTTTTATTCATTATTATTTTCTAACAAGAACAGATTCATAAGTATTACACTTATTTTTTGTTAAGAAATATTTCTTTTATCGACAATTTATTCAGCGGGTGAAAACTACCCATAAGTTAATGATGGAAAACATTTTTTTCAATATCTTAAATATTATTGGATGTAGAAAAAAATGTTCGCAAAAATTTTATATTTTTTCATAATAAATTGATCAACCTAATTTCTAAAATATTATATATATATTTCATATATATAATCCCCAATAAAATTGATATTATTATAAAATACTTGCTATTTTCCTGATTTTGTTGCTGTTATTATTTATGCTTTATTTATAAAGGAGATTTTCTACATATTAATTAATGACTGTGATAAAATTTATGAAGGATATAGTTATTCTTTTTCTTTTATCGACAATCATCCATATTTACGGAATGGAAGTAACTAAATAAATGAATAAAAAAATATTAACTTTTAATATATTAAATATATAAAATATTAATCTTTTAGAAACTATATTAAAAGTTAATATTTTTTTATTCATTTATTTAGTTACTTCCATTCCGTAAATATGGATGATTGTCGATAAAAGAAAAAGAATAACTATATCCTTTATAAATTTTATCACAGTCATTAATTAATATGTAGAAAATCTCCTTTGTAAATAAAGCATAAATAATAACAGCAACAAAATCAGGAAAATAGCAAGTATTTTATAATAATATCAATTTTATTGGGGATTATATATTTACATACTTAAGAATATATACTTACATACTTAAATTTCTGCAATTAACGTTAATATTAATTAATATTAATTTACTATCTTTGAAATTTTCGAAATTTGAAAATTTGGAAATAAAGTTTTAAATGAAATTATTTTTTAGATTCTTTTTTCACGTATGATCACTATCGTTTAAATATACCTTTAATCGCATCATTAATACGGTAACACCCTGTATAGTTACAAATAACGATACATTATTGGTCAATTAATATTACTAACTCCTTTCTTTTATAGGATTAAGTATTTCATACAATTTATCTGTATATAAGAAAAATTGAATAGTATAATGTTTGCACTGAAGAAACATATTCTACTACTATTTTTCCTGTCGTGTACATATAAAATTAATGGCATTGAGGCTCAATCTCTTCCAGTTGTTCTTTGGCATGGAATGGGTAAAATTTTTCATTATTCTTTGTAGTATGTATAAATACCTTGCATAACATTTATTAACACTACAATTACCAAATTAGTTAAAAAGACTAGTTTCAGACCTTTTGTGTCTATAGTTACCGAAAGTATAGAATTGCTTTTGGTGAAATCATTATTATCTTTTATTGGGGTAGAAACATTTTTATATATATAGCTATTTATTTTCATCATACGAGTTTAATTATTATTGTGTATTTGTAATATATTTAGATACATATTACAGGTTGGTAATTTGAGTATTAATGTTTGTCTTTAAATATTATAATAATAAAGTAGATTAGATAAATATAGATTAAAATAACATAAAACTATTTATAAGATTTCATAGTAGTTTATAATAAATTATAGTTTCTAATTATTTCTGTTTTAATTAATAAATCTTTCTCTAAGTACATAGTATTCACATAATCTTTCGTGTAATAACGGTGATGATTGTATTTAGTTACTCTGAGTATTAATGTTTTAACATTCTTATCGTCTTATAAAATCATTATTATCATCTTCTAAATGGTTTTTCATTTTTTATGACGAAAATGTATAATTTACGTAAGTATTATAATACTATAAAAATATAATTCTTGGAATATAACTCTTCTCAATTTTACAAAATATTAATTAGTGATTAATTATTGTTTTACGAAATTTATTTTTTTATTTTGAATTGTACGATTAAATGATAATATAATTTCAGGCGATAGCTGCTGTTTTTCATTTAGTTTGGGAGCAATAAAAAGATTAATAGAGGGCGAAATACCTGACGTTTTTGTATATTCCGTTCGATTAGGAAATAACGAAGTAGAGGTAAGTTTTAATAATATAATTTAACGAACGAAATTTTTCAAGTGGAAGTTTATTAGTATAAAATAGAAAATATACTGCAACTGAGGAAAAGTTTATTTAAATATAAGATTTTAACATTTTTTCTGCAAACAAATTGATTTCCATTTTTAGTTTTTAGTCGTTTCTTTCAACAGAATAAATGCATATTTGATATATTTCATTTGATATATTTATGCAACTAATTTTTCGTTTTCAGTTGTTCTTTAAAAGGGTATTTAGATCATATACTTTTAGAATAAATTAGTTTATATTTAAAATTGATAATCGACAAATAACCTGAACATATGATTATAACGAGTTATGCAAATTAATTATTTCAACTTGTATAATTCCATTTATACAAATGAGTGACGCAAGATCGTGATATATAGTAATATTTCGTTAATATTGCGTTCATAAAATTGACAATATAAATATAGACAATAAATATAATATATAGTAAAAAAATGAAATTTTTATTATCTATACTTTCCCTATTAAGAAAAAAGAAATCCGAACACAATTTTAATTCGACTTATTTATATAATTAACAGATGCTGTTATAAAAATTTATAGTTTATGTTTTGAGTTTTACATATAATATTAAAATAGTCTGTAGAAACAATGATTTTGTAAAGTAAGTCTTCCCTAAAACCGGATAGCGGAAAGGGATAATTAATAATTGCATAGGGATAATAAATAAATGTAATTAATAATTTTGCTAATGTGGAATACATTTTTGCTATTATTATTATAAGATGGATTGTATACGTATGTAGTTTGTAAGCTGTTAAAGTCAGCTATTATTCCTGTATATATACATATTTGCATAAGGCTGCTGCCTTTGATGTTCACCAGTGAAAAGACTATCCAAGCATTGTGACTTATGACTTGCGATAAATGAATGGATGCAAGTGGTTTCTAGGGTTGTTCATTGACGCGTGTCACATGGTGTATCTCTGTTACACTACTCTTTGTGCATCTATACCCTATGTGCCTGTTGTACTGCTTCGTGCATTTATACTTAACATGTTCGTTGTACCATTCTCTATGCACATATCCTTTAGCGTGTCTTTATACTATACTCTGTGCAGCTATGCTCTAACGTGCCAGTTTACTATCGAATAGCAGGTCGCTGAATTTGCCTTGAAATCGACTATTGTAATATCGCTAAAAAGATCTATGGCCATATTCAAAAGATTAACGTGACCTTGAAATCTTCTCTACTGCTCCAGCTAGGAAAAAATGATTAATATCATACGATGTCCACCATTATAGAAAATAACTTTTGTAAAAATATTTTTTTTCATAACTTCAACTCTTTGGGAGATATTCCGCTATATAAGTTTAAACGGCTACGCAGGACAGGTCTGCGTTCTTACACGGTGGCGTAAGAGTGTGCGTTGCGGTTACATTTGTGTGCGTATATGCACGATTGATGAAGTTTCAGGTGTGAGGTTTTCTGAATAGTTGGGTTCTGAGTGGTTTAAACCGTGTTTGAGTTCACAACGAGAGAATCACCCTGTATATGTATATAGTATTATCTGTTATTTCATTATTGTTATTTATTATTATACTATTGTATTATGATATTATTATTATTATACTATACAGGATCAACCATACAACGCGAGCACCTCTATTATCAATTACTTAGTTACTGGAAAAACAGTAAGCAATTATTTTGTCGACAAATATAGGACGTGAAAAGATGAGGAAAACAATTTTTGTTAAGCTAATTGGTTACTAAAGACAGAAAAAATCAACTTATTAAAAACAAGAACGACCGAAGCGATATATTATACTACTATATTATATCATTATATTTATATTAATCATATATATTACAAATAAAATTTGAATTTATGATTTTTAAATTTTATGATATAAAAGAGACCATAACATAATTTTTTCTTGAAAAGTTTCACTTTCGAAAATTTCAAGGTCATCTTTACCTTTCTAAATGATATCTGTTTTCATTTTATATTTTTAAATTATATAGTCAATTTTCGATTGGTGTTAACTGATTATAGCAGAAAATTATTCAATGGTAAATAAATAAATAAAACTTATGTAATTACATATTTTCAAGGTAATGCTTGTTTCCAGCCTCGCAATATTATAATTATCGATTTCTCGAAGCTTGTATAGTAATTACCACTTCTAGATTGATTGTGGTACATTCTGCAATGCGTCATGGAAATCTGGCAAGGCAAGAGATAGAAGTTTTATTTCATAAGCCTTCTGATTTGTTGTTTTCTCCAGATATATGAATATCATTTTAAACGAAGTCATTGAATAATATTTTAATAGCTTGCATTTGGTATAGGAGGAAAAATTGAAAAAAATCCTTCCAAATGAGTTTTAATAATTCTAAAAGACAATATTTATATAAATTTATATCATGCGCTTATATTTTTGTTAATATTATTCATGTTAGATACATTTTTATAAAATATGTATAATATAATTTAGGTTTTTACTATTAAAACAAGAAAAAAAATTATAAAATTTGTTCCAAAATATCAGATTTGTAAGAACTTAAATTACAATATATTGGATTTACTAAAAATAATTAAAAATAATTAAAAAAATTAACATGTGATGTTAGATGATTAAGAAATCAATTTTTTAAAATAAATTATTATTTACTTTAGAAGTAATAGAAGTTATAAGAAGTTAGAATAAACATATTAAAATAATTATAATTAAGATTCAGTTTATTTTTCACTTTCTTTGAAAAATAATTTATCTGCGAAATAGTTAATCAGAAAACTTGATGATAAAGGGATACAAAATTTTATCAACCATATACGAGAAACCATATTTTTATTTTTTAGAGATATGCTATTTAATTTATGAATACAAAATTGAATGTATATATACAAGGCTATTTAGCGAAATAGTTTACACGATTTTAAAAAAATTAGTCAATTTTTTAATCAAATACAATTGTCAAAAATTTATTTAAATTATACTAAATATTTATAATTGCTAAAGAATATCTTTTCTGATAAAAAAATTACGTTTTGACGTTGAATTGACTTAAATGACATTGAATTTATAAATTTAAAAATATACATTTATATTTAAATCTGTATATATGAAATAAGTATTAACTTTTACATTTAATCCCACAATATTAATATACATAAATTTTTACTTATTATGACAATGTATTAATATTCTAATTAAAATTAAATTACTATGCTGTAATTTACTATATCAAATTTAATTGTGTCCATATTAAATCAATATTACCTTGCATAAAATTGCTGTACTTTTATAATATAATCATTCTATGGGTATATTTTATCGTGTTTTATTAATCACTGTATAATGTTTATAAATTAGTGGAATAAAATTTACATGTTTGGAAACTGTTAAATTTATGTATATTTGTGTGTATAAAATATACATTTATAAAATTGTACAAATATACATATTATGTTATAAATATAAAAAATTTCAATTAGAATAGAAATGGTAAATATTATATAAATAATATAAAATATTTAAATGAAATGTATAAAGCAATAAATTCAAATACTTTCGTTATTCACTATACATATGTACGTATGTAGCTTTATCTTTTCGTTTATTAGATAACAATGTTCTGATAATCGATCTTTTAATAATGATTTTTTAATTAGTATGCTGCATTAATTAGTATTCCAAAAATTAATCGTTCATCGGTATCCTAATAAACGATATTCTACAAAATCTTGTAAGTTAAATATTTATTGAAATTTTATTGTAACTTTTCAGGATGTGGAGCACAGTTACTTTGGTGATGTCAACGATCAAATACAAGAAATTTGCCAAGAACTGGGTAAAAATGAACAACTTAGAAATGGTTACAATGCCATTGGATTTTCACAGGGTGCTCAATTTTTGTAAGTACTATACGTGAAAAGATTAATAAAATTAAATAATACAAAATAGGTATATGGTATATTTAGTAAATTTCGTAATGGAATTCGTACATTTAATAAATGTTTCAATCTTTTAAGATCACCGTAAATATCGAATGGACATTATACAGGGTGGACCATCTAATGTGACCACTTCGATCGTTTTCGTTACTTTAATTTTTTCTGTACTTAGTATTATTATTAATTTAACAAAGTTAAATGTTTTCTCATTTACGACAAAATAATTTTCTATTATCCAATAACAAAATAATTGGAAATAATTGAAGTGGTCGCATTAAGGGATGCACCTTGTATATTTTCAAAAGTTATACATAATCGTATTGTACATATACGTTTTATGGATATTTTTTTAATGTTAATGTAATGCAAATACAAAATTAAACATAATAGCTGTATATATAACACTTTTATAAATAATATTGAAATATTTATTTAAATAATAATATTGTTATATAAGTTATATAGTATTTATATATAACATATGTAATAATTATTAATATAATATTGGGTAAATAATATTAAGATATTTGAAGATTTTGTTTTACCAGAAATGACATGATTCACGTCCACTGAAGAAATATATTGCACTATGGAAATCTTATATTTCTTATCTTTTGTATGAAATATAGTATATTTCAAATACCTCGATTTTAAGAATAACCATATTTAAAAATTTTTGTCTCGTAATTAAAAAGGCTGTCGAATGACATTTATGAATTATCAGGAGAATATATTATGTTTTATAAATAAGGGATAAAGATTTGTGGAACATAGAAAACGCTGCTGTGTCTGTCTTTAGAACCATCAAACACTATTAAAGTAGATATTTGAGATACAATACACAGAATCGTGGATAAGAAGAAAGTACATAACATCTGAATACAGAAATGAACAGAAATTTAAGTTAGCCAGAACTGGGTCTTCCTCTATTCAGCCTGTGAAAGAAGTAGTATACTCAATCTTAAGATGTACACTGTACTGATATCTTCTAAACGCAAGGAATTATCTAAATGATTTTCGAAACTTATTATAAATTGAAAAATTAATTACAACAAAGACAAAATTAATATAGAAGTTAAATTTTCCGCTATTTTAAAAAAAATTATTTTATTTTATTAGAATGTCAACGAATATGACAGAAAAATTAATTACAACAGATAATAAGTAATATAATTATTTCTTTTGGATTTTTGACTTAAATCACTTTCACGATTATCGGCACATATTCTTATAAGCACAATGGTGTAGTGAAATTAAGAATTCCTCCTTTTTTTTTAAATAAAAATAAATGCTTTTTTTACATAGTCATCAACAATAAAATTTGAATAAGTAAACTTTAAGTTTTTAAACCAATTTTAATTTGTAAAAATTTCTTTATAAATATGTAATATAAATTATCTTGTGATAATTATTTTAAAATTTATATATTGTAGGAGAGCGATAATTCAAAAGTGTCCGAATCCTCCGATTAAAAATTTTATTTCTTTGGGTGGTCAACATCAAGGCGTTTTTGGATTACCAAATTGCGGAACAATGAAACGCAACGTCTGCAGTTATGTGGCTCGCATAATCAAATATGGAGCTTACACTCGGTAATAATCTTTAATCTCTTTTGTTTTCTTAAATATAGAATATTAAACTAAATAATTAAAAGTTTAACTGTAACTAATGATTAACATTAGAACTATAAAACTAGGTGAAATGATTGATTTTTGAATTTTTGTTATTGCTAAAAGTACACAACTGGTTTTGGAAAAATTAACATTGACTTTTATGAAATAAAAACATAGTTATTTGTATTTCTCTATTTTTAGTATACCACTGTAATCAATGCTATTTATCAAATACAATTTTTTGAAATTGGGTGGTTTTTTCTTGTTAACAGTACAAATGTAATGATTTATATACAGGGTGTCCGCGTTAAGATTTGTCACCATTTTTAAGGCATTTCGAGTAGTACAATTAAAAAATGTTTTGGACGAAACATTTTTAATATTTGATGGGCTACGTGTTCTCATGTTATTAAATCCCAAAAAATGCTTTTTACATAAAAATGTCAAGGTAATTATGACTTTTTTAAATGACACTATATGTTTTTGATGCCACAGAATTGTTACTGACGTCAAGATGAATTCAACGGTGTATTATACTATGACTTTGAAATGACCTTAGACTCTACTAGTTCAAGTGGTGTCCGTGAGTTATGGAACGTTGTTAATAAAGAAATAAAAATTTCCCGTTGACTCGAGGATCACCTTGACCTTTTTAGGTAAAAAGCATTTTTTTAGATTAGTAACATGGGAACATGTAATCCATAAAATACTAAAAAAATGTTGGCCGAAAAATTTTTTAATTGCACTACCGGAAATGCTTAAAAGGTGAAGACAAAACATAACGCGGACACCCTATATATATATAAAACTTTGATGATATAACTAATTAACAGTTGTACTATTTTCATAATATGGAATGTTATAATGTTTCTATAGATATCGTAAAAAGAAACTATTTTGTATATATATATTTCTTTTATTTTAATTGTAATATAATAATTTTATTTTGCTATTTGTGTACTGTTAAAATTCTATATATGTAATTTTCTGTTTCTTTCAAAAAGATATAGGTATTGGATATTATATTTTTTATCATTTTTTAGATAGTAGCAGTTACACTGGTAAATTATTATATCTAATACAGAGTATTATTTAATAAAACATCATTGAAACTTATTTTATTTCATTGTAGATTTGTTCAAAAGAAATTTATTCAAGCTACATATTGGCACGATCCATATCAAGAAGAAGAATATAAACAGAAAAGTATACTTATGGCTGACATCAATAACGAACGTTACATTAACGAGGTAATGTATAAAATATTATTGTATTAAAAATGATAGTTATTTAAGAATAATTTCATTTTGCTTTAGTCACATTAATTCATAAAAAAGCAAAATAAAATATTCATTTCGAAATTTTAATGCTAAAATTAATTTATTAAGAACGTTACAAATGTCAGACAGTCTTATTTCATTATTCTTATTTCACCAAATTTATCTGTACGTTGTATAAAAAAATGTTTTGAACAAAAGTTGCTTGATATATAGTGCAATAACTACGTTTTTGTTATTTTTTGCTAAATAAATATGGGTGAATGAGTTAAATGACTCAACCTATATATTTAATCTAGTTATCACTTCATTCAGTAATGTTTAAATTTTTTCCAGACGTACAAACAGAATCTTCAGAAGTTAAATTCTATGGTATTAGTTAAATTTATTAATGATACCATTGTTTGGCCCAGAGAAACAGAATGGTTTGGATTCTATAAACCTGGCCAGGAAACAGAAATTCAAACATTCGAGGAAACTGATTTATATCGTAAGGTACAAAACTAAATTATTATACTATTACAAAATTACAATGTGACAATGCTGCAAAATGCAAGTATTGTAAATCCGAAAAACATATTCTTTTATATTTTTTTTCAATTCTTGTATGGCCACAAGTAGTTTGGTTGTAACAGATATTTAAAGAAATTAATTATTATTACAGTTTGATTTGGAAGCTACAATTGTAAGAATTAAGTAGAATTAGAAGTAACTTGACATACAGATGTATTAATGAAATATTATTTTTCAGGATCTTTTAGGACTAAAAGCGTTACATGAAGCAGGAAAAATTCATTTTCTTTCGCTACCTGGGAATCATTTGCAATTTACAGCAGATTGGTTTACTGATGAAATAGTTAAACCATATTTAATATAAATATGTAACTATGAAGAATGCAGTTGAACAAATTTTATGCATATATACCTTTATAATATATATAGAATTATCCTTTATATCTTTATTTGACTTCAAATTATCATATAGAATCTCATTGTTAGAAAATTTATTTGGTATAAATCTTATTACATAAAGGGATAAACAAAGGAAGGATATTCTAGTGTAATCATAAACGTTACTCTATTTTATTTCAGCAATTTCAATATGTAGGTTGTATATGTTTATAAAAACTTGAGATTATTAATTAATTTCTTAAATATTTTAATACTTGTGAATATTGTCTGTAATATTGTTATTTGATGTGAAAAATTTTCCATATTAGTTCACTTAAAAATGTACTTTACATGAAAATATTCTTTTTCAAGTGTCTAATTTTATGTTATTTAATACTCTTGTTGTCAATAAGACACTTTAATATTACACACTGATTATCTTTGATAGAAATTTACTAATATCATTCAATTAATGTCTTATATATATATTGATTTATTTAACATTCTAACAATCTTTTACTGTTTTTTCATTTGTATACAATGTTACTTATATTAAAATTGATTTATTAATTCATACTTTGTGATATCGAACAGAAAGTTTAATACAAAGTATTATAATATAATATTATTAGAAATATTAACACAACTTCTTGAAATTTATTATATTTGATAATAATTTGCTAATAGAAATAATAACAGTCTTGTATGAAGTTTTGTATATTTATATAAAATTAATGAACATATTACTTTATCATTGTTTACATTTGTGTTTTAGTCCAAAGAAGAACATTATTTTTAGAGTTATATATATATTTGATTTTTATTTTATTATGAATAGGAACAAAATGTAATTAAAACTTACAATCCAAAAGAAAATTTAAAAAGTTAGATCACAATCTGTAGATATAATATTCTCATCTACAAAAATATCTATAGTTTGTGTCTATAGATACAAATATAAATACATTTTTTATAAAATACATGAGAATTTATATGAACATTATTATTATCATTATTAAAGTAAATTAAACAAAAATAAAGAAATGTTCATATATAGCATAGTTTGAAGAGAATATTTATAACCTTCAAAAGTGGAATCAGATTCAGGTCAGTTGGACAATTTGCATCCGAGTCTCACTATGAGTAAGTAATATGAATATAATACATGCATATCCACGAAGTTTTATACTACACTATAGCATTAAATGGTCATAGTTATTTTTCGCGTAACAATTGAGAAGAAATTCCGTTTCTCGAAACCAAGTACTTGTTGTTTAGATTATTTAACCTGTAAATAATACATTTGACATCATTCTTCGGATAAGACAGTTAAGAACAGCACATATGATATGATTGTAAATTGGTATGACAAAAATTATTCCACAAAGAAATATCATTTCTTATATATTTCTGAATTTCAGTATATGCCTACTAATGTAAAATTTTACTAGGTCACGTATAGGCAACATGAGCCCTAAATAAATGTAAGAATTCCCAGTATTACTAGTGCTTTTGTGTTGGAAAAGTTCGTGATCGCGGGAAATTTAAATTCCGAAAATGTACAGTTAAAATTGAATACACACGCACTTAACACTAGAATCGTATGATAAAAATAAATAAATATATATAATTATGTTTCAATATTAATTTTGTTAAAGGTAGCTGTATGTTCTTGAATTTTATTCTTGATTGCAAAGATAAAAGTCTGAAATTAGTAATTTTAACTGTTTAGGTAATTTTAGTCTTAAGCATAGTTTTGATATGATTGTGTAATGATAAAAAGATAGTATTTGGTAAAAACATTAGTTCTGACCAATCAAAATGAATACTTCTAGATTTTTTGTTTTTGCAATTATTATTAAGTATGCAGCTACTTTTTACCAATTTAATGTTAATTTTTATCCTACAATAGAAATAGAACTCTTATACATTTAATTATTTTTATTGAACTATTTTAATGATTATTCTGCCTATCATTATATTATGAAACAGTATCTCTAATGTTAAAGACATTCAAAGTTTTTTCAGATTATTTTTCACTCTGAATTGAAATTTAAAAAAAAAAATGTCAAAAGTATTTGGTAGGAAAATTAATATGTTCTCTAGTCTGGAATTGGTCTCGTGTTATTAAGAAGTTAATTTGAATCAAACCCCACCCATTAATTACATATCGGAGTTTTTATTTCATAAAATACATAGTATCCAATTTTACCCTATCTTTTTATATATTCTATGTGTATATTTTATATAGTTTGTATATCTTATATATTCCACATATTCTACATATTCTATACATTTTATATACTTTTTATATTTTACATATTCTAGGAAAATCCAGAACATTTTAACGAAAATTTCATTAGCCATTTATCTTTCTGTAAAGTGTATAACGTCTTAAAAATTGAAAATCGTACCATCATTTAATTTTGTTATATTGAATTTAGTCATAAATAACTTCCGTTTATTTTCTTTTTTATTTATAATTTATAATTTATAATTTATTATAATTTATTCAATTCGTTATTATCAATCTTGTCTTATTTATCTGACAATTTATTAGTTATTTATGTGCTAAAGTTAGTGATTTTTAATACAAAAGTAGTTTTATTTGTCGTGTATTTTTATCCATTAATTCCCAGAGCGTCATCCTTGAAGACCAATGCGCGACCTGTCCTTGATCCTTATTTGTGCCGGTAATTATGAAAGTGGTCTAAATCAAAATTTAAAAGAATCAGTTTTACCATTTATATTGTATTGCATTCGTTTACGTTACGATAAAATGCGACTATTATAAATAGCAAAATAACAAAAAGTTGGATCGTTAGATTGGTTTCGTAGCTTTATCGTAATAAATGTTTGAAATATCTGAGATTTTTAGAAATATTAAATGTTTTGACACGAAGTATATATCTTATAAATCAAGCGATAAATACAGGCATTATGCATCATTAATATAGCATACCCTGATTTATCACATTGACATTATTCATAATGACTTATTACTCACTTGATGCATAACATATACAGGGTGTTCCACTTAACTTAAATGCCTTAATTTATTGCGTTACTATGATAATGACCTTGAAACATCCTTCAGGATGTCCTTGCAAAAATTTTTTTCTTACCATCATCAGTTATGTGCATGAAACTATTTAAACTCCTTTTAGACATTTTCTTATACCTCCAATAGTAACGGAAATTATTAAGATGTTCAGTTTAAATGGAACACATTGTATATGACTTAGACTACTTTTATAATTATATGCACATTTGAGACTCGCATTTCCCAATTACATTAATAATTAATTATTAATATTCGACACATTATTTTCGACGAATTATACTTTACCGAAACAGAACTGTCAAAGTTGCATGCATTCACCATGCATCCATTAAAAAGTTAATAAACAAAGCGAAAAAATTTGTCAATTATTTGATTTCAATGTAATTATATTTTTGCTAGTCAGTCTTAATTTAACTTAAACTCTTTGTGATTTAATTGCAGAAACAATTTAATTGCATAAATATTAAAATTTACAGAAACTATGCATTTTAAAATGATTTAATTTGAACTAGCCACTATATGTCTACTTTATCCATAATAAAATTATAAAAATGTTTAGAATTTCTACAAATTTTGCGCACGTTAAAATAAAATATAATTTTAGTCTAATGCGACTGTAATTCATCTTTACGGAGTTTAGTATGAAAAAATCACTATGAGATATGCTCGTTATTGTACTAGTATAAGAAGTTAGGAGCGTACATTACGTTTTGTAATTCCGCCATTTGCTTTTAATCGTGCATAGACTGCATTTTGAACTGAAGCTATTTTTATTCGTATATTTTATTTTATTTTTATTAGTAAATTGCGTTGCTATTTATTTATATTAATTGTCATTTATATATATGTGTAGTCCACTTATTGTATTATCCAGAATTACCTCACTATCAGTTCCAAGTATGCCAGATAATCGGAATCTATTGTATTTTCAAAGTTTCGATTCGCAACGTTCGTATTTAACTTTCTAAGAAATTTTCATTTTTTATACCATTTTCTTGGAACGCAAAATAACTATTTTTTATTAAGCAACTATTCAGTTTCTCAAGATTTGTTGATAAATATATATGGAGGGTAATAAGGAAAGATAAAGAATATTCATTTAGTGATTTTAAATGCGTACTTTGACAATGGTAGTTAGAATTTTTGTAATTAAAACTGCACATTTTTTTCTGAAATAAATAACAATAGATCTTCAAGCAATTTATAATGCAATTGTATCCATTGAATCTTGTTTCTTTACTAATGGACTCTGAAGTATTAGAAATTGATTTTTTCTATAAAGAGTGTAATATTTTGGGTTTTTTTTTTAACCTTTTATATTATGTGGTAAAATGTATTTTTTCTTCAGATATGATAATTATTTTTTAAATTTTGAATTTAACATGTGCATTTATTTTATTTATTAAAAATTTTCAACTTAAAGTATTATTATTTTGTATTAAATAATTATTTTTAATTTCTAGCAATAAGTATATATGATATCGTAAAACGTATTTCACTCTCTTCGTGTGGTATAATTATTTTCAAAATTTGATGTTCAACATGATTTTGTATTAACACTTGTTATTTATTGGTAGTCTTTCAATCGGTTTTTCGATGCCATCACTTACTGACCGGAAATCCATTAATTGACTTTTGAGTATTTTCACTTATTGAATAAATTAACACTAAAGAATCTCCTTTTAATTTATTATCGATTTTTAAGAAGAATAACGTAGAATCGTAGACTAAAAATCACTAGAAAATTTTTAATCCTGAAATTGCTTTTAATTGAGCTATTTTCAATAATTCTTTGCATTTCAGAATAACTTAGGAAATAATAACTTTCAAAAAGTTTGAAACCAGTCAATTTGACTAGGTTGGTAGTTCTGGTGTCAAGTGTTGCCATTGATGAAATTCCACCCCATGCCAATTTTATTTTA